TGTCCTGGACAAGGTGGTGACACCTCAAGGTGTCCTGGACAAGGTGGTGGCACCTCAGGGTGGTGACACCCCAGGACACCCAGACAAGGTGGTGGCACTGTAGGGTGTCCTGGACAAGGTGGTGACATCCCAAGGTGTCCTGAAAAGGTGGTGACACCCCAAGGTGACAATGCCATCACAGGATGACAAAGTGATGACACCCCAGGATGGCCTGACCAAGGTGGTGACATCGTGGGGTATCTGGTGATGCCACCTCAGGGTGTCCTGGTGTCTTAGTTTAGGGTGACAAGGTGGTGACACCCCGGGGTGACAATGCCATCACAGGATGACAAAGTGATGCCACCCCAGGACACCTGGACAAGGTGGTGACACCCCAAGGTGTCCTGGACAAGGTGGTGCCACCTCAGGGTGCTGCCACTCTCCCCAAGGGCCACCTCCTGCAAAGTCCCCGCTGTCCCCAACCCCACGGCCAGCCCCGCGGGAAGCCACTGTCACCCTGGGGGGTGACACAGCAGCTCTGGGAAGGGACCTGGCTGTGACAGGGTGACACGGGGGGGGTGTGGCGGTGCCAGGGTGGCGCCACCGCGGTGCCACCCCAGAGCGGGTTTGAGGTGCCACTGTCACTGCTGTCCCCTGCGGGGTGTCCTGGCGGGGTTGGGACACCTCGGGGGGGTCCCTGGGGGGTTTGTCAGGGTGGGGCGGCCCCAAAAGGGAGCGCGGGGAGGTTTTTGGGGTCTGCAGGAGCCTGGGGGTGTCCCAGGGGTGGCTTGTCCCCATCGCGGGGACAACCGGCGGGGTTGGGGACATCACCCAGGCCACCGGAGCCACCCTCGGAGGACAAACCCCTCCCTCCCCCTCCCCCCGGAGCACCCCCGGCCACCGCGGTGACCTCAGCCAGGACACGGCGCGGGCGGGGAAACTGAGGCACGGCGCTTCTCCGAGGCCACGGCGGGGACAGAACCTCGCGCTGTCCCTTTTGTCCCCCAGGGAAGGGACACCCCCCTCCCCCCCCCAGGCTGCTCCTGTCCCCCGGAGCGGGGATTTGGTGACACAAAACCCCCCCCGAGCCACCCCTCGGGGACACCCGAGGCTCCAGCACCGGGGAGCCGCCGTTCCCACGGCATGGAATTCCGGGAATTCCGGGCTGGGACAACTCAGGATTGGGATGGGAGTGAGGTGACACAGCTTTTTGACACTTTGCGGGGGTGGGGTTTTTTTGGGGTGGGTTTTAAGAGCTCGGCTTCTTGCTGGCTATAGAATTGTCCTTCCTCTCCAGCCGCGTGTAAGGCTCGAACGCGGACGCTCCCGCTCCGTAGGCACCGGGCAGATCGTGCAGGCTGCCCAGCAGCGGCCCCCCAAAACTCAGCGGCCTCCCCGGCAGCCGCGGCGACGACGAGGACGATGAGGATGAGGAGGAAGAGGCGAGAGAAGGGAGGTGCAGGCTGAAAGCCGGCGGTACCGGGGGGCTGCTGCCGCCCGCCAGCCCCGGGGACGCGGGGCCCGGCGTGGCCAGGCCGCTGCCGCTCCCCGCGGGGCTGGAACCGGGGGAGAGCAGGCTCGGAGGGGCCGGCACGGACAGCAGGCGGCCTTGCTCCAGCAGCCGCAGGATGTTGCAGGTGGCGAAGGACTCGGAGGTGCCGGAGGAGCGTTTTTCAGAGTCCCTGCTCTGGTCCTTCTTCTGCTTCGTGCGGCGGTTCTGGAACCACACCTTGACCTGGGGAGGGGTGGGGGAGGACCGGGGGGGAGGGACAGGAAGGCACGGACGGAAAGAGAGCGCGGAGGGGCCGGGGAGAGAGAGGCGAGAGCCAGGAGAGAGCGAGAGATACGAGAGAGAGATGTATTAAAATAAACGGGCAAGCGAGATCCGCCCTCCGCCGCTTCCAGGGAAAACGGGAGAATTCCTGCGGGGACGGCAGGGTGGGAGCCCGGGAATGAGAGAACAAGGGTGGGACTTGGAAAAGGAGCCCAGGGATGGGAGCCCGGGGTTGGGAACACATGGATGGGGATCCCAGGCTCCTGTCCCTGGGATGGGAGCCCGGGAATGAGAGAAGAAGGGTGGGACTTGGAAAAGGAGCCCAGGGATGGGAGCCCGGGGATGGGGATGCCAATCTCCCGTCCATGGAATGGGATCCCGGGAATGGGATTCAGGACACGACCCCAGGAATGGGGATGCCAGGCTCCTGTCCTTGGGATGGGACCCCGGGAATGGGACCCCAGGAATGGGATTCAGGACAGGAGCCCATGGATGGGAACCCATGGATGGCATCCCAGGAATGGGATCCCAAGCTCCTGTCCCTGGGATGGGACCCCGGGAGTGGGATCAGGACAGGAACCCATGGATGGCATCCCAGGAATGGGATCCCAAGCTCCTGTCCCTGGGCTGGGACCATGGGAATGGGAACACAAGGATGGAACTTGGAAAAGGAGTCCAGGAATGGGACTCGGGACAGGAACCCAGGGATGAGAACCCATGGATGGGAACCCAGGGATGGGAGCCCATGGATGGAATCTCAGGAATGGGGATCCCAGGCTCCTGTCCCTGGGCTGGGAGCAGGGAATGGATCCCCATGGATGGGATTCAGGACAGGAGCCCATGGATGGGAACCCATGGATGGGAGCCCAGGAATGGGGATCCCAGGACACCAGGAATGGGCATCCCAGGGATGGGATTCAGGACAGGAACCCAGAGATGGGACCCCGGGGATGGAATTCCGGGCGCCCCAGGCTCCTGTCCCCGGGATGGGACCCAAGGGATGGGATTCAGGACAGGAACCCAGAGATGGGACCCCGGGGATGGAATTCCGGGCGCCCCAGGCTCCTGTGCCCGGGATGGGACCCCGGGGATGGGACTTTGGGGTCGGGAAGGAGCCCAGAGCTCGTGCTGTGCTCGGCTCTCCCTGTGCTGTTTTTCCCGGGAATGCTGAGCTATAGGACAGGCTGGATTCTCCTCAACCCCAAACTCGTGTCCCCGGCTTCCCTGGCCGGGGCGCAGGGTGACACGTGAGGGCACGGGGTGGCTTCTGGTGGCCCTGAATTCCTGGCTCCAGACCCAGCTGGGGACCCCTGGCCGAGGTCAGGAGGGAAGCCGGGCTGAGCCCCGCGGGATCCCCGTACCCCAAAACTGCCCCTGCCCAGCCCAGGGCCCCCCGCCCGCGGCTCCCGACCCCCCTAAACTCCCGCTCGGGAGTTCCCTCCCTCCTTCCCTCCCTCCCTGGCAGAGCAGAGGGGCAGGAGAGGCAGAGAGAGAGACAGAGAGAGGCGGGAGGGACGGACAGACGGACACGGAGGTGAGGGAAGGACACGGATGGGAAGACACTCGGGTTAGAGCGCGCCGGGAGCTCCCGGGCTCCTCCCGGAGGCACCGGCGGCTCCTTGGGGACCGGGGGGGACACCGCGGGGACACCGAGGGGGCACCGACACCGAGGGGGCACCGACACCGAGGGGACACCGACACCGAGGGGACATCGCCTCCGCCACCGCCGGGCACTGCCAGCCCGCGCCTCCCCTCGGGGACGTGCACGACCCGCGCGGGGACATCGAGGCACTCACTGGCACCAGGCAGGGCTGGGTCACCATGGCACTGACCCCAGGGCAGTGTCACCATCCCAGTGACCCCACTGGTCACTCCGTACTGACCACTGGGATGGTTTTGGGAACAATGCCTGTCCCTAGGGCTGGTGTCCCTGTCCCACTGACCCCAGAGCTGTGTCCCCAACCCAGTGACCCCACTGGTCACTCGGTGCTGACCACTGGGATGGTTTTGGGAACAATGCCTGTCCCTAGGGCTGGTGTCCCTGTCCCACTGACCCCAGAGCTGTGTCCCCAACCCAGTGACCCCACTGGTCACTCGGTGCTGACCACTGGGATGGTTTTGGGGATAGAACCGGGTACCCAGGGCTGACGTCCCCATGTCACCAACCCCAGGGCTGATGTCCCCATGTCACTGACCCCATTGGTCACTCCATGCTGACCACTGGGATGGTTTTGGGCGCAGTCCCGTGTCCCCAGGGCTGATGTCCCCATGTCACCGACCCCACTGGTCACTCGGTGCTGACCACTGGGATGGTTTTGGGGATAGAACCGGGTACCCAGGGCTGACGTCCCCATGTCACCAACCCCAGGGCTGATGTCCCCATGTCACTGACCCCATTGGTCACTCCATGCTGACCACTGGGATGGTTTTGGGCGCAGTCCCGTGTCCCCAGGGCTGATGTCCCCATGTCACCGACCCCAGGGCTGATGTCCCCATGTCACTGACCCCACTGGTCACTCCATGCTGACCACTGGGATGGTTTTGGGGATAGAACCTGGTCCCCAGGGCTGATGTCCCCATGTCACCGACCCCACTGGTCACTCGGTGCTGACCACTGGGATGGTTTTGGGCGCAGTCCCATGTCCCCGGACACGGTGACCTGACACAGAATTGTCCCATCTCCTGGAGCAGCTGAATCCAGAGAAATTCAGACCCCAAACCTGCAGTGGCCAAAGAGGACCCAGGCAGCCCCAAACCCCATCTAATTAGCGACACCTTAACGAAGATCCCTACAGGATGGACATTACCAGCACTCTCCGCTTCAAATATTCCCCACCCAGCAATTCAGGGGGAGCAGGAATTCCGGAAAATCCCTCAGTGGGATTTAGTCCTTGAGGATGGGACGAGCCCATGGATCAGGTTTGGGACCTCCAGCGCCATCCCTGAGCCCCAAACCGGGGGCTGCTCCAAAATCCCACTGCTCCAGGACACTCCCACCATCCCAGGTGGATCCGAGTCCATCCCAACCTGGCCTTGGGCATTCCCAGGGATCCAGGGGCAGCCACGGCAAATCTGGGAATTCCAGCTCAGCCAGGAATTCCTTCCCAAACTCCCACCCAAACCTCCCTTTTCCCAGTGGGAAGCCATTCCCTGTATCCTGCTCACTCCGTGCTCCCGCTCCCATGGGATTCCAGACAATCCCTGCTGACCCCACCGAGCTTTCCCAGATCCCTGGATCCCTGGAAGTGCCCAAGGCCAGGCTGGATGGAACTTGGAGCCACCTGGGATGGTGGGAGGTGTCACAGCCGGAACGGGGTGGGATTTAAGGTCCCTTCCCACCCAAACCATTCCATGGCTCCACCACGATCCCAACGCGGAATTCCGCTGGGGAACGGCGCCGCTGTGAAGAGGTGAAGAGGAGCCTTTCCCGGGAAGTTCCCCCATCCCGGATTCCCCTCTCCAGCTCCTCTCCGTGCCCAGACCCCAAAAGCATCCCCTGAATCCCACGGGGTGGCCCCGGTGACATCGCGGGGGTGGCCGTGGCTGGAGTTTGTCCCCAGCCTGTCCCCGGCCAGCGGCTCCCTGTCCTTTTCAGCCTCCGTTATCCTCAACTTCCCGCCTGGATCCGATCGAGCCTTGACAGATCCATCAGCAATTCCCCTCCGGCCTCATCCTGCTCCGTCCCCCCTCCACTCCTGCTGCTCCCACTCTGGATTCTTCCACGAATCCCACCGGAAACTTTCCCGAATGGGCTTTGGCGGGGCTTTTCCTTCCCTAAAAAAAGAGGATTCGCTCCCCATCCACATCCCTGGACCTGGTGGCGTGGCGTGGATGCCATTCCCAATTTTTCCCGGAGGAAAGGCAGAGAATATTCCCGGTGGGCACCACTCCAGCCCTCTGGAATATCGTGTTTATCCGTGGCAGGAAGGAAAGCGAGACCAAGGCCATCCTTTTCCAAGGAAAACCAATTCCCAGATTTTTTTGCTCTGGGGACAGCAGGGCCATCCAGCTGGGAGGGAACGGGAATGAGGGGTTGGAATTCTGGGAATCTCCCAGGGCTGCTGGTGGCTCTAAATCCCGAACCCCACGTGTGACGTTCCGGTGGGGTCGCACCTGGATGCAGGGAAGCGCCTCTGGAAGCGCCCAGGGAAGGGACACGGGAGGTGACACGAGCAAGGGACACTCCGGGGACAGGGAGGACAGAGCCGCGTGGAGGAGCCGGCTCAGAAAAGTTCTGGGAGAGGCAGCGCCGAGGCTGAGGCGTGAGGAGAGCGGGGATTTGTAAATCCCAGAATTCCGGAATGGTTTGGGATGGGAGGGACCTTAAATCCCACCCCATCCATGGGCTGGGACAGCTCCCACCATCCCAGGTGGATCCAACCTGGCCTTGGGCATTCCCAGGGATCCAGGGGCAGCCCCAGCAAATCTGGGAATTGCAGCCCAGGCAGGAATTCCTTGCCAAGATCCCAGCCCAATCTCCCCTTTCCCAGTGGAAGCCATTCCCTGGCTCCTGTCCCTGCAGCCCTTGGCCCCAGTCCCTCTCCAGCTCTCCTGGAGCCCCTGCAGGGACTCTCAGCATTCCCTGCATTTTGCCCTTCTCCAGGGGAACATTCCCAGCTCTCCCAGAGCAGAGCTGCTCCAGAATCCCAGACCTGTTTTTGTTGGAAGGGACCTTAAATCCCACCAATTCCAACCCCATCCATGGCAGGGACAGCTCCCACCATCCCAGGTGGATCCAGCCCCAGTGTCCAGCCAGGCCTTGGGCATTCCCAGGGATCCAGGGATCAGCCCCAGCAAATCTGGGAATCGCAGCCCAGGCAGGAATTCCTTGCCAAGATCCCAGCCCAATCTCCCCTTTCCCAGTGGAAGCCATTCCCTGGCTCCTGTCCCTGCAGCCCTTTCCCAAATTCCAGCTCTCCTGGAGCTCCTTTAGGGACTCTGAGGATTCCCTGGATTTTTCC